CTACATACAGATATGCAGAAAACCCAAGTAATTTAAGGTTATAATTTTTATATTCAATTTATTCAACCAATGTAAAGAATTTCATTAAACATTTAAAAATAGTCATAAAACCTTAGCAGGGGCCAGCATTATGAATTTATCTTATATTCTAAAACCAAATTTGGGCTGACAAATTTCAGCTATACCACAGGATTAGGACAGAAGACCAGTAACAGAAGAAACTATCTAAACCTGAAACAGCTACCATCCCAACTAAAGTATAATGCCTTTAATGTGAAAAACACAGCATTATGAAAGTCAACTTCATTTGAAAAGATGAGATAAAAAGACTTTGAAAATAGAAAATTCCAGAAGTTAATTGCTCTAGGTGCAAGTTCGTATAATATTTTGTATGAATCAAAAAAATATGTCTGCACTAGGAGTCTCTGTGGAGTAAAGACCACACACAGGCTGAGGAGGAAAGCCTGTGTGTTGTAGCATCGTTGGTGTCAAGGCTACTTTTCAAGTAGAAAAGGGGTCTGTCAGTGATGTAAGAATCCCATCAATAGTGGAAAATACCAAGGCTGTGTAGAGGTGCTTTGTAGACAAAATTAATCCCTATTGGATTTGACAGGTAGGAGCAGAAGAGAAAGTGATTCACGGACTATGTGATCACCGAAAGATGAAACAGTGGCCAGAGGAGCCACGAGAAAGGATGCTTCCCACTTGGATAAGAAAGATGGTCTTGGTAAGAAAGATGGTTTTGAAAGGATGCTTCCCACTTGGATAAGCAAGATGGTCTTGGATAAGAAAGATGGTTTTGAGGAAAATTTGTGTATAAATATACTTGGAGCTGTTTCCCCATTGAAAGACTCTTCAGGGAATAATCAGAGTGATCCAATTACTGGCTGAGTCCTGAAATAGAATGTGGTTGATTTGGCTGATCTTTTTGTCTGGTCTAGGGCACCTCTGCATTTTTATCAATAGAATGCAGGAAGTGAAATTGAGAAAAACCTATAATTTCGGCTTTCTCAGGATATCGATGACCAATGGCTCCCATGTCACCTCCCCCCTTGTTTTATCAAGAATGCAGTTCTGTGGCTTTCTAAGAAAATTTGTGAAATTGCATTATTGAGTTCGTGCCTCTCATTGTACAAGCCCCAAAACTGGGATTCCAAGAAGGTAAAGAATTGCCAGGAACCACGCAGCCAGAGCCAGAAGCCATGGACCTGCATAGGCTTGGTTCCACAGCCCTGTTCCTCAGAGGCCAAAACACCAGCTTTGCAACATGATAATTTATACTTATTATGGCCTTTTAGTTCACTTTTTACTTGTATGCCTGTCTATATCCATCTTTTCCCAAGAAAGACTTAGACCATAATATAGACCTTAAGCTTCCAGTTAACATTTTGGTCAAACTGAGATAAATAAAGAATTACTATTTCATATTATACTTATTCAGTGTTACAAGCAAAATAATTGGGATGCATGCCTTCTATGCAACACTTAAACACGAGAAAAATAATTGGGATGTATGCCTTCTATGCAACACTTGAAGAAACACAGGAAAAATAATTGGGATGTAAGCCTTCCATGTAACACTTGAAGAAAATGTCCAGTATATTCCTAATAAGTCATATATGAAAATCATGTGATGTAATAATGACACGATTTTACCATAGTTCAGATTTTATGTCAACTATTTCTAAATTCAATTAGAAATAAAAATCTTCAGAAAAATGTTTTAATACTGGCTTTCTCTTTTATGCTAAAACAGGAGATCGTGTTTCGAGGAGATCTCCTATAACATTACTTTCCTATTAGGTTATCAGCCTAAATGGTGCTATTTTACTGGATTTCATATGTGCCACAGATCCTGCTGGGAAAGCATAAAACTGGACTCATTTAGGAAGAGGCAATGTAGCTCTATGAGAAAAGCTGCCATATGTGAAACCTCACTTTATGCCTGTTGAAATTTTTGTATTTCAGATCTCCCAGGGATATGCCCATTGTGCTATTGTATAATTTTATCAGCATGAACTTCTGCTGAATATTTTCTCTTCTTTTCAAAACCCATATTTTGGTAGAGCTAACTTTGAAACTTAATGTTCTAACATCTGTGCTCATACACCTGGGAGCCATAGAAGATGTATCCTGAAGATTATCTACATTTTCTAATCTTATAGAATGATACAAAATGAGAGAAAAAGGTTATACTTTTTTTTTTTTTTCCTGGGCTGAGATTTTTTGAAAGCAACCACTTTCTGTCTCCTTGGATTCTCAAAATAAAAGAGAACCGATATTTCTAAAGCTATAAAGAATATCCCTAAAAACTTAATAGAATATTCATTTGTTTTTGTTTGCAGGTAAGAGTAATTTTTAAGAGGTCTGTGCAACTTTCCATTAAGAGACACTGAATATACACAAAACCTGGAGCTATATTCTCAAAATGTTTTCAAACAAGATTCTAATAACTCCATGAGTCTAAAGAAAGCAAGCAAGCAAACAAAAAAAGTCCCATTTGATTTATTTAGTACTTTTATTCCATGGCTCTGCTAATGGATCAATGGCATCCTCTTTTAAAAATAGGAATTATGGCTGGATCAGCACTTCCCAAATAGAAGACTGACATCTTGACAAAGAAAAGGGAGTTTCTGAAGAGAGAGGGATACCTCCCACTTCACGTTTCATTAATTGCTCTGTCTTTATAGAAAAGAACATACATATCGAAACCGCCAGCAGGAGATGGTGCTGGAGAAGAAATGTGTAGAACAATTTTTGTTGTTGTAATTGTTGAAGGAAAAGGTGGAAAATGTGCAGTTTTGATGGATTCAACATGGCGAGGAAGGACCACAAAGGGATTTGAGCAACTCCACATATGGATTCTCTTGACTTGGTTGTCAATTTATCAAAACATGAGGGATATGAAACACCAAGTGCTTTCTGTGCGGCAGGTACTGTGACTCCTGTACATGTGCCAACTCATTAGAGTTTCTCCACAACCGTACGTGAACGGTAATTTTGTCATCACCATCTTACAGAGGAGGGAACCGAGGCATCGGAAGTTGAAAGAACTTGCCCAAGACCGTGCAGCGTGTCAACGCGGGGCAGAGCTACTCCACAGTGTCCCAAATTTACGTCACCCACTCTCCTTCCGCGACTTCCCTTATGTGTCACAAGCTAGCTATTCATGCTTATTTTGAAGCAAAGAATAAGATGATAAGGGGATATGTTTTAAGTTATTTCAAATTTAAACAGGAATAGGCAAGGTAGTGCCAAGTGAAGTATCTGCCAGAAAGAAGGGGAGGGAAAATTCTGTTAATTCAGAGCCACAGGCATTACTACTCTCCCGCCGTGAATAGTCACATTTCAAAAAAGAAATCCGACTTCAAAGTTGCTACAAGCAAGTAGCCGACTTTGACTTCACTTCTTTCTCATGTGCCATTCTGCCATGTGCTACAGAGGACTGGCATCCTTGCAAGGGAGAGGGAAGAGAGTATTTAATTCCTCAGTAATTAGAGGAGGGCTAGATGCTGGAGAACCACTGGAAGAAGGGACACATGACAGTGAGTGCAGAATGCCAGCTTTTCAAACCTAGGTCAAGTTAAAAAGAAGAAAACTGACCCATTGTTTGATGTTTCTCATTTGCATGTCTTGAGGCACAATATACAAAGTAAATAATTTCTGCTATTGAGAAAATAAACAGGCAGGCAAGACATTGTGTGTTTTACATGTTAGAAGTACAACTGAAGAGAACAATGCGATGTATCTGTTTCTGAAGTCAGGGTTCTATTAATTCTCTGTTCCATCATCAGACATAAAATGCCCCACATATGCCCCACATAACCCATTTACTTGACCAGCTGGGAACATGGTGTCATGAGCCTGAACTAGGATTTGCAGGGAAATAGAGAAAAAGTTATTAGAGACATAGAAAAGGAAGAATATTGTGTTCTAAATGCAATGGAAATTTTTAAAAAAGATGTTGAAATCACTAACATGGCTTAGTAATTAAACTGTGTCAATGCTCTGGCCAAGAAGAGTTCATAGTTTGGAAGCTGTAGTTACTATTGACCTGATTTCACTATTGAGATCATGTCTGCATTTTAATTTGGAAACAAAATTGATCACTGTGTTTTATAAACAAGGCCTGTCAAGTTATTAGTTTGCAACTGCTTTGCAAACACCTATTTATTTAAGAGCTGCATGATTTATGATATAGTGTACCAGACAAATGATTTTATTTATTTCATGTGTGAAATATATTTCATATATTCATCTTTCATATGTTCTTTTAAGAGATTGCTTTATATTTTAAAATGGAACTCATCAAGTTCTTCAATAAATACCAAATTTCTTTGATAATAGTTTTTTAATACAGGTATTCTAAAAGGATGCCTGTCTTTACTCCGATATATTGGCTTGATGCCCCAAATACTGCTTTAAAACTTACAAAGTGTTCGTTCCTCCTATGTCTTCAGAAATCATTATAAAGCTCACTTGTGTTTTTAACAGTATTTAATATTTCTGCATCCTAATATTAGTGGACAAAGCATGCAATTTAGAAGGTTCATATAATGTTTATATTTTACATATTTTACATATTTTATGAAGGACAACAGAAGGAAATCAATACAGAAAGGCTTATCTTTATGTTTTAAAGCCATCTCAGATTTTCTAAGATTCTTATCCATCTAAGCCCATCTAGTCCATAATTTTGATTCCGTATAGGCTTTCTCAGTACAATAATTTTTGTATTTCATGAGCTTTTAAATTAAATTGAAACAAGTAATAAAAAAAACAGCTTCAAATTACTTGAAAGGGCAGAAAAACTGTTACAAGCCTCTTCTTTTGCTACTCCTAGATTTTGTTCTATGCTCACAAGTAGGTTCAGGATGAAAGAAATGCTCATTTTCCCCTTTACAGACTGCTCTTGCGGGAGGGTAACTCATGGTTGCATTCTAGGCAGGAGTCCAAAGGAACTCTGCATTCTTGATGGATCAGTTTAAGAGGGGACCTACCTTTTTGACCTTCTTTGTCTTCTTGGTCATCCGTTAGAGGGATCACTTCCAGTTGCTCCACGGTCGTGGCATCTTCCTGGTTTGGTGAAAGCTCTAAAATGAAGGAGACAGTGGGAGACTCAGGGTGTTTTCATCGGAATCATTGAAAACACACAGTGACTAGAGCAGAGAAAGTTAACGTCCCTTTCTTTTTCCCCTCCAAGTTTTGAGAGGCACACAGAACAGAACATTATTGCCATACTCTGGTAATCACTGCCTAAAACATACACGCACACTCCTCACAAACACCAGGATAGAGAGAAGTCATGGTTCATAGTTTCATCTCATTCTCAGATAACAAGGCATTCTGGTTTCAATACCTTCTGTTTCCATATATGAGCTCTGGGACTCTGCCTCAATTTTTATTTCATTCTTCGTTGAATCATGCTCTTGTCCTATTAACAACAGTGATTGAAAAATAAAAGAAATGAGACACGCACAACTATAGGTTTTTCCCTGGTTTGAAAAAGCAAAACATTCAGAAACTGTGTTTCCATCATGCATGGAGAGGCAGAGAACAGTTTCCAACCAAAGTGGGCAATTTTGCAAATCATCAAATTTATATCAGTTATTTTCTGAGAAATAGCCAGGTAATCAGGCAAAAACCTCTTCTTTGAACTGATTGGTGTAATTGCTGTTTAGCTTATCAATGCATTGAATGTTGATAGACACAACCTGGAAGTTTTGAAATTTTGAATAATCTCTGGGTTGTGTGGGTTATCTATGTTTAATTTCCCTTTAAGATGTATAAATTTCCTGTACTGAGGATTCCTAGAAAACACTGGTGTTCTCATTCTCCCATTAAAAGATCATGAACAACTTAAGTAATGTGAGAATGCAGGGATTGGGTCACCTAACAGCTCAACCATTCTGTGAAGACACCTACTAAATATAGTAAAGGTCAGGAGAGAATTCAGCCAACTCTTGATTACTCCAAGGCGATTATCTAGTAATGGTTTCTCTTCCACACCCCCTGGCTTCTCCCCCTCCCTTCCCCTGTAGAGTTTTGAATATTTAAGTGCTCATTAAGAGAGAAAATTGAAATCTGTCCATTTGCCTCATTTTAATGAAAGGTTTTATGCTGAGAATATACTTTTTTTTAATGCTGAGAATATTTAACTATTGAATTTAAAAAATCCAGAGCTAGAGTTGGTTATTGGCATGAAGGGGATACAGAGGGGCTTAGACTCTGCTGGGTACGTTCCTGCAATAGATTGTATTATTTTTTCAACTGGTCCCTACTTCTTTCTGTAAGAGGATTCAACACCATGTCTGTGACCATGTGACCTGCAGTGGCCCCTGTGGGACAAGCGTTTATTCCCATCTCACTGACATCAGGCCCACGAGTGTGACTTGGTCTACAAAATGGCACAGCAACACACATGACATGTACTACATTTGAATGGAAGCTTCAGGATCCTTTGCATGTTTCCTCCAACTTTCTTGCTCCTAAGAGAATGTGCTCCTTCAGTCTACATCCTGGGATGAAAGCACGTGGAGCAGAACTCAGTGGAGACACAACATACCTTTGTGGTTGTAAACCAGTGGGACTTTTAAGATTATCTGTTACTCCAGCAAAGCTAACTGCTACGACCCGTTATCTTTACAGTTTCCTCCTTTATGCAACTATTCTTAAGCTGCCCACTCTATGGCTTCCCCTTGGTTCATTCTCTGCTAGCATGATCCCCCCCCAAAAAAGTTTTTTGACATCATTCCTCTTGAGCTCAATTTTAATCAAAAGAACCTAATAAAATAATTATAATGGAGGCATATTTATCTGTCTGATCATTGAAGCTAAATTTATCAAGCTGTCTTTGATGACTTTCTGTCATCACTCCTAAAATTCAATGAAATTCCATGTCTTGATGATTCTGCAAAATGTTCCTCTTTTCCCACTTTTCATTTCTCCTTCCCTTTTCCTCATTTAAGGATCTATTGTCTATCTCTTGGATCTGTCATTTGCTAGCTGAAATACCTTTTATTTTTTTTTTTTCAAAGATTTTATTTATTCATTTGACAGACAGAGATCACAAGTAGGCAGAGAGGCAGGCAGAGAGAGAGAGAGGAGGAAGCAGGCTCCCTACGGAGCAGAGAGCCTGATCCGGGGCTTGATCCCAGGACCCTGAGATCATGATCTGAGCCGAAGGCAGAGGTTTTAACCCACTGAGCCACCCAGGCACCCCAGCTGAAATACTTTTAAAACATGAGCTTGATCAAGATGTTTTTCCTGGTGATAAACCCCATTCACCTCCATTCCACTCCAGTGCTACCTAAACTATGGTCTGTGGGTAAGCAACACTGGAATTTCAAAAATATAGAAGTTCAGGCCTCATCTCAGATCTAGAGTCATATTCTGCATTTTAACAAGATTTCTAGATGCTAATGTATGTGCATTAAAGCTTGAGAAGCACTGGCCTTGGACATATGCGTATCTGTAAATTATTTATCCTATGAAAAATGCCAGACTTGGCCCAGACAGTTCACATAGATTATCTCTAATTACATTAGCCCTGAAAGTAAGTATTGTGCTTCTCATTCTGGTTTCAAAATTTTCAACTACAAATTCTTTCTTCCTTTTTGTTTTGCTTGGAAATATCCTTATTTTGCCTTTTAATTTTTAAACTGAAGTATACCTTGCTTATAGTAAAACACCCAAGTCGTATATAACTTGAAGACTTTTCACATACACATATATGTATCTCCTTGGGCACTTACCACCCAGAACAAGAACATTTCTAGCACCAGTGGCTCTGTCTGTTTGTACCAGTGGACACCCCGCAACAGGTAAAAGGCAATAGTTTTGTCTGTTTTTGAATCTCACAAAAATAGAATTCACTATTTATACTCTTTTAGCATCACTTTCCACATATTCTCTGTGAGATTAATCCCATTTGTTGTATATGTCCTTGTTTATTCTTTTTCATGGATGTATACTATTCCACCATCCAAATACATTATGTTTTCATATGGGGCTAAACATATATTATGTTTTCAGTTTGGGGCTATTTAAAGGACACTGCTAAAAAACATTCATGTGCGTTGTCTTCTGGTGGATATACGTATTCATATCACTTGGGTATAAACTCAGGAGTGATATTGCTAAGTAATAGGCAACACATATGTTTGGCTTTACTAAATCCTGAAAAACAGCATTTGGAAGAGTGTGTTCCACTTTATACTCCCACCAGAAATGTATGAGAATTTCACGTGTGCCCTTTATCCTTTAGACAATGTCATGATACTACTAGTCACAAAATTCTCCAATATGGAGAAGAAAGTTGTGCAAAATCTTTTCCCCAAAAACCCACTTGTTCACCTTTGGGTACCATATAAAGTGATAAAACCACACACTATAGGTCACTTATTCCACACCATAATACATGCTTCTAAATGGCAGATATGCCAGGCGCTGGGAATAGATCTTAAATGAAACAGACACAATACTTGCCCTCAAAATGCATAACTGCAAGGAAAAAGGCACTAAATGTGCATAAAGTTCTTTCTAGTAAGATGTGAAACAGAGTTCCAAATTTATGAAAAAACTCATTTTTAGCAGATTTTAAATCACAGGAAACTAAGAGGGATAACAAGTATATTGGACAACAAATTCCACACTGAAGCCCTCTTAGATTAAATGAAACAAGAAGAATTTTGACAAGGATAAGTGTTAAATTCTAAAATCAAGTTTATAAATTCAACTTCAAGGAACGAGATGGGAGGAAATCAATCCTATTTCTGATAAAACCAGAACTACAGGTTTTGCATTTCACGTTTACCCTAGATAAATACTGGATGGATACCAGAATGACTGGATGGAGCGAAGGATTATAGCACATGGAGAGTGAAGGGGAGGGTGCCTGGGTGGCCCAGTCAGTTAAGCATCTGCCTTTAGCTCAGGTCATGATCCCAGGGTCCTGGGATTGAGTTCTGCATTGGGCTCCTTGCTTAGTGGGGAGCCTGATTTCTCCCTCTACCTGCTTTTCTCTTTGTCTGCTGCTCCCTCTGGTTGTGTTTTTTTTTTTTTTTCTCTCTCTCTCTGAAAAATAAATAAAATCTTAAAAAGAAAGAAATAAAGAGAGAAAGAAAGAAAGAAAAAGAAGGAGGGATTTTTTCATTTATTTCCTGGCAAACATCTTGCGTGGATAGCTATTTCTAGCTATCCAAACATACAGGAGACTTAAAAATGAAACATAATAAAAGAGGGGAATTATAGGAAGGGAAAAATATTTTCATAAAAAATATATTCAGAAAAACAAAAAACAGTATTTTTGTGTTTGCAATGAACTCTAACAACTGATGAATAAGGAAATGAAAAGATGGATTAAATGAGGAGGAAATTATCTAAGACAAGCTGAAAACTTCTACAAGCCTAAAAACACAATGACATCATGAACATCAGCAAAGGGTATCATAAAAGAGAATGAACACTATTCATAAATTAATGTTTTAGAAATCAAACTTTTGAATTAAAATCCACAAGGAGGGCAAAAGTTAGGGAGCAAAATGAAACATGAAAAGATGATAGATAAAGAGTACAGAAAATAGCAATAGAATTTCTAATGTGAGGATTAGAGGAAGTCTAAGCAACTGTATTTTTTTGTGAGAGCAACCATTAAAAACGTATTATGAGGTTTTCTTTTTTTTTTTTTAAGATTTTATTTATTTATTTGACAGAGAGAGAGAGAGAGATCACAAGTAGGCAGAGAGGCAGGCAGAGAGAGGGGGAAGCAGGCTCACTGCTGAGCAGAAAGCCCGAATGCGGGGCTCGATCCCAAGACCCTGAGATCATGACCTGAGCCGAAGGCAGAGGCTTAACCCACTAAGCCACCCAGGCGTCCCCCATATTATGAGGTTTTCAAAGATTGTAGAACAGAATATGATTTCATTTTTTGTAATTATATATTCATCTGCATTTTATATTTTACAACAAATACATATTATGTAATCTAATAATTATAATGAAAATTCAGAAAATAGAGACAACTGCTTTCAGTGATATCATAGAAGAAAAATTTATAACTAAAAGGTGTTTGCATCTAGCTAAATCCAGTTACTTTTGCTCGACATCTATTCTACTTGAACTCTAAAAAGCACTTGAGAAAGTCAGCTGTTGAGTAGTTCTTTCTTCTTGAATGTTCCTCTTTTTTGTCTTTTGGCCAAATCACCTGCTTTTCCATTCTGTGTTCCAACCTACTCACCATTTTCTAAACACATCACTTTATTTCTTGCTTTTGTGTCCATTTCACATGTGTTTTCACTGGTTGAAATACCCCTATTTTCCCCCCTTTCTATCTGGTAAAATTCTCCTCATCTTTCAAAACTAAGTCATCAATTTTACCTTTCTTTGTAATATCCTCTGAATCACTGGACCGGATCAATCATTTTCATGTTTTAC